GCAGGCTGGTGCGCAGGCGAAGATACTGTGACTCGAAGACAAGCGACGCCGGGGAGGTGTTGAAGATGACCTCGCCGGTTCTGGCGCGGGTGATGTTGAAGGAGAAGGGGCTCGCGGTGTAGCTGAACTTGAGGTTGCTCAGTTGCGATGGGATTGCGCCTCCGGGCCGTGGGAAGACGGATTCGGGGACTTGGTAGACCTGGTTGCCTTTGTCCTGGATGAGGACGTGAACGCGGTCCGCTGGGAAATTGTCAGTTGAATGAAGCTTGAATCAATTGCAGCGTATCACGCCAATGGCTCTCAGAACGAGTGCCTTCACAGCTCTAGGGTCAGCAGCTCCGACTTACCGGTCTGGTAGGTGACCTGGAGAATGAGGTTCGGCAGGTCGGTTCCGTACACATTGCACGCAGCTCCGGCCAGCGTCAGATCGGCCGTGACGCCGGTGGGCGTAACGCGAACATTGGAGGCATTGTAGCCCGGGCAAGCAGCCAGAGCGTCGGTGGCAGCTCCATCGCGGTGGAAGATGGCGGCGGCAGAGGTGAGCCCCGCGAAGAGGGCGGCCTTCCAGTGAACCATCATCGCGACTGTGACGACGGCGAGGGTGATGGCGAGAGTAGGGCTGAGTCTCGGCATGATGGCGGTGATGCTGGCAATGCCATATATATACCTGTATATACCTGTATGTACCTGTATCGTATCCCTGGTCGCAAACATGGATGGCCGCTGGTTCGGCCAAGACAGCGTTGAATGCCGGAGGAGGACGATGTCTTGGCTGGCCCCTGTCAGATGCTCCTGCCCACCCGCAAGCTTAGCTCGTCAGCTGTCACCGGCCAGGACGAGTCGAGTGCGGCATGGAGATGCAGGCTGCTGCTATGCTCTATTCTGCTAGTAACGGTTAGGCAATGGTCAGGCAGTGGCCAATTCAAGGCAGAGCAGCGGTGGATACAGACGAGCGCGAGGAGGGGCACAGACAAGTGTAAAGTATGTAGTGCTTGTCTAGCTAGGCATGGTATCATCGTGCATCTCCAAGACACGGGACCCCGGCCGATGGGGCTCGCGTCGAGTTGGGGTTGATTGCTGGGCCAAGGGTGCGAGAGCAGATTCCTAACAGAATCACCACTACCAAGAGGCCTTGGTACCTTTTAGCCCACTAGAGGCATCTAGCGTGCGACAGCGGGCAAATGGGATCGAGGAGATTTGATGAATGCGAGAATAGTGAGACAAGAGTCGTGCTGTCCAAGACATTGTTGATCGGGCTGCCAGGGGAAGAGCAGGGAGCCGCATGTTTTTCCGTCTTCCCGACTTGTTTAGTGGGCTATCCTTGTCCATGTCCATGTTGTTCGTGTCTGGCTGTGGAAACATGTCCGTTGGCGGGAATTCGATAAAAAAGAAGCAGCTCAAGCATCCGGGTTGAAGAGCTGAGAGACATGATTGAAACGTGCATAAGGACTAAATGTGGCATCCTATTGCACGTGCCAGGTTCTTATTTTTCGTCCTTGGGAGCAGAGTCAGCATCATCATGGAACAAAACTTGAGCATTATCAATGATCTCATGCAGCGATAAGAGCCTTCAGCGGCCTTTGTCCCTCTAAGCGCCTCTGTACCTGCGCAACCCGCATCCCCAACTCCCCCGCACCACGCCTCGTGCCATTTTATTTTTCTGGGGGCGCACAGGGCACAGACAAGGTTCGTCCCCCCCTGAAGCCGCCACCCGATGCGCCGCGGGCTGCTTTTCGCCGGGCCTAAAACCCGCTAAACGCTACAAAGTAGGACTAGCATGGCGTTACCCCGTATAATTGGAGCCTCTGCCGTCGGCAGTGATTTTCAGCCAGATTCACACATGCTCGCAAAAGCAGTTTCGAGTTAATATTAAATTGCATGTACAATTTAATATTTGCACTCGTGAATAGCGGTTACTCGGTTACTCATTTGAACGCCGGAGAATCTTCATCATCCCAGTTTCTCCATCCAGTCGCGTAACGGCCCGACTCAAAGGGCGTCGAACTGTTTGTATCCATCTACGGCACTCATGCTTGAGCGCGTGTAAATTACATTAGTCCGCCAACCGGAATGAGACGCCAGTGTCGAGGGCGACTGATGAGCACGGGTCAAATATTGCTACCCAAGACCAAGTATGGAGGGCATCTAATGCAGTCTATAAGCATTCAGGAGCCCCTCTGGCACTTTTTGTAGTATTTGCAGCACTATTTGCAGTGAATATTTGGTCATGTTATGCAGCAGTTTGGCGAAGCCTCCAACTTCTCACTAGTCATTTACACATGCAGATCATCAGACTTTGCAGCGTCGCAGCACTGCAATCGATCTCAATCAGACGATCCCCCTTACTTCCAGCAAACGTGCTAGAGGTAGCAGTCTTGGGGTTTCATTTGCCCTTATTTTTTTCAGTGTATACACACACGGTGTATTAGGAGTAGCAACCGTGATGGAGTACATAATTCCATCTGCATATGATGAGCTGATCTATATCACTCGAAATTAACTGCGTGCATGTGATACATCCGGGTAGCCGTTGGATTCGGCCGGCTCTAGACCCTCAAAGCAGCGAAAGGCGAAGATGGAAATATTTTTGCGATCAAATCCATGTAACTCTACTACTACATGTTTTCTTCGTCCCGGCACGGTAGCATCAGTCGCGGTCGACAAGTTCCGAATGGTGGCACCGCATCACTACCAAAGAGGGTGTGGTAATTTCCCGCCCGCCAACCGGCGAGCTCGGTTCGCGTCACGGTCCTTGGCTCATGGGATCTCTAGTGGAACTCTAGAGATCTGTAGTGGCGATATAATTTCGTTTTTACTTTCTTTCATTCTTCCCCACGAAATACACATCATAAACCTTCATTTACCGCTCCCCATCCTGCTATGTAAGCTACATCTCATCACTCCACGTGAACATAAACCTGTACCAATTTCTGATATTTTCTTTGGCACCAAGTACCCGGCACCCCTTGAGAATGAATTTAAGCTACGAAAGGCTTCACCTTCTTGTATAGGCCAAGATTCCGCCTGGACCTTTTTTACATCTAATCACCTTTTTCGGCTCTGCCTCGGTGCCTTGGCTATTCCGAAGTCGCTGAGCTGCAATACGACGCTGCAGCCTATTAACTGTGCATAAACTATTTGTTTGTTGGTTCTCTGTGGAGAAATACTATCTGCGGCGTGATCAGATGCCATTCCCAACTTCTGCATCCGTAAATAGCTGCAAGTGAAAAGAAGTAGTATTGTAGTCGATTCTGTTGGTCATGGATATTTTCATTGAAAGAAAATACAAGGGTCAAACACAGCTAATACATTACTAATGTCAACTCTCATGTCGACTACAGGTATGCTCCGCAACATGAAGAAGTCAATAGCCTTACATACTACATAGCCAGACAACTTCACTTAACCTAGAGGCAGCGAAGCTCCTATTCGTGCTTTTGCTTCTCTATTTTTGAGACATAGCAATAGCATGCTAGATGCAAGTCTCATGATTATGATACATATAATGCGGCCCCCTTGCTGTCGCTTCTGGGTTATGATGCTTCAGCAAATAATGCTTGACTGGCGACGATTTGCATGTTAGTTTTGACGTTATTAGTTGGAGAATAAGCTTATGTCTTACCGACAAAGCTACTAGACTTCAACTCGATAGGACAACAGTCTTCGCTCACACTCGTGAGTGAAATTCTACGCCATCTGGACCAGGAATAAGAGAGAGAAGAAATAAGAAAAAACAAAAGGTAACAAAAAAAAAAAAAAAAACCTCCATATTATACTATCCATTGCTAGCTCTCCAGGAGTTGGTAGAACAATGGATTGGTATTCGTTCTCTTCTACAAACCACTTCGCACGTGATTGACTTCTTGAGCACCACGATTTACGAGCTCTGCCTGTATAACGTCGAGATAAAAGATAAACAAAATTCATAACACACAATGTACGATGCATAAAACGCATGCACAGGTAAGATAACAAAACAAATTGATACGCTGGCAAGGCGACGAATTGCAGCTCGCGTTTGTCCACAGACCCCGCCATGGAACACCAAATGCTGCTGTACCGTGTCTGTATCACCTGTAACTGCCCGTAGCCAGCTGGCAGCCCCCTTGCGTCTCGCGCAACCCACCAGAGACAGGAGAGCAGAAACACAAATAAAGAGAAGAAGAGAAAGAAGGACGAGAATTCGCATTGGCCAAGCCCATTGAGCCTCGCGTTGCCTCTGCCAAAAGTCCGTTCTCATCTCTTCGAAGCGCCCGCCATTTTCAATCATTCAGGAGCAAGGACACACACCACGCAGGGGGCTAAATGTACAGCGCCGCCACGATAAGCTGCCGCGGTACTTTGACCATCTTAGCGAGCCCGAAGAAGCCCCAACAATGGCGGCCGGAGCGCCAGAGCCTCAGATCTTCGCTAACCTCCACCAAGATCAAGCCACGCGCGACATGAACTTTGCGACTCCGCCCAACTTGGATCCCGTTCTTCAGCATCAGCAGCCACCGCTACAGACACCGACGCAGACGCAGCTACAGTCGCAGATTCAGGCTCAAGCTCAAGCTCAAGCTCAAGCGCAGATTCAGGCGCGGCATCAGCTTCAACAACAGCAACACCAAAACCAAAATCTCCAACAGCAGCAGCAGCAGCAGCAGCAACTTCAGCAGCACTACCTCCAACAGCACTACTTCCAGCAGCAGCAACAGCAGCTCCAGCAGCAAGCTCTTTATCACCAGCAGCAGCAGCAGCAGCAGCAGCAACAACATCAACAACAGCTGCAACAACAGCAGCAGCAGTTCCCAATGAACGGCATGAATGGCGCCAACATGGGCGCCGTCATGCCCGCGCCCACGCCGGCCGGGCACCAGGCCGAGCTCAACTACATCTACGGTATGGTCGAGGAGCTGAGCCGGCAACTCGCAGACAACAGAAAGGTCACCGAGGACATTGTCAGTGGGCTGGGGCGAGTGCGCAACAAGGCAAAGGCGCAGGGGCTGGGCAACAACGAGATGATTTCGTCTGCGGCTGAAGACATAAACGGTGAGCTGCTTCTACTCGAAAGCCATTTTCCTGCTGTGAGTCATGTTCTAACTTGTCATAACTTCGCAGCCCAGGAATCAAATCTCGACACCATCATCTCCGAACTCTCAGAATCCTTCGACAAGGCCAAGCACAGCCGCGACGCCAACGCCGCCCTCCTCTCGCAGTACGCAAACGCCATTTCCCTCATGCTCAAGCAGTTCCACGAATACAAGTCCAAACACGTCGCCGACGTCGCCGCCTGGCATCGCTCTTACCGCGCACAGCTCGACGAGGCCCGTCGCGAGAACAGCCGGCTGCGCGAGCAGATCTGGGAGATGCAGACCCACGCCGGCCGCGCAAACGAGTCGCTGCGCAAGTTTCGACGCAAGTACGACGAGGACGAGGAGAGGTTTGCGAAGCGCGTGGACGATACTGCGCTGCGGCAGGAACTGCGTTTCTGGAAGCGCATGGCGATGCCGGAGCTGGAAGACGATGATCCGTACTGGAGCGGGGATGATGATATCATTGACGAGGCCGAGAAGGAGAGGCTGAGAGAGCTGGAACTGCGGGCGGCGCAGGAGCAGCACATGGTTGACAGTCAAGGCGAAGACAGCGATGAGCAGCATCACCTGTCGTCTATGGGCATGATGGGTGGGATTGCCATGCAGAGGGAAGACTCAAACGGCCAGACACTGCCCATACCGCCTCCTCGGCCTCTCAGCGCGGCGTCCAGTACGGGTTCAACGGGCAGATGAGACTTGGGATGGAAATGGAGGACCTGATTTAGTACGAGATGAGAGAGTGAATGGAGTCCTGGCATACGGGAAATGACATGAAGGAAGCTAAGAATGAAGATGAGGTATACCGGAATCATGACGCTACAAATGATAGCAGAGGGCTTTTGATGGATTGTAAATACATGTAATGATTGGGAGGAGCACGTCGAGATGGTATAGCATGGCATTTGACCAACTGACAATTATTCTTTCGAGGTCAAGATAAATTAGAACAAAACATGAAGATCTCGTAAAAGGTACATTACGGGTATCCTGAATCCTTTCCTTTCTTGCTGCGTATAGATTATGTGCTTTCCCATTCTCAATTTCCAATTACTGCGCAGTCTTTTGAGTATATAATAGTACATGGTGACCAAAGTCAAAGTGCGTTACAATTACTTTGGAGACCTGATCTGAGTCTTTCCATAAGAGACGGTCTGGCAGTTACACAGAGCTAATACCCGCTCTGCTCGCGTCGGCCATCATCCTCTCCGTCCCTGTTCTCCTTGGACGAAGCCGCTGCCTCGCCCGCCTCCTTGATGCCCTGCTCATCGCCACGCAGCTTCGCAAAGTACGCCTTGATGTCCTCTGCGCCCACGGCCTTGCCGCTCTCGGCAAACTGCTTGAAGAAGGGCGTGAGCTGCTCCTTGAGGTGGTTGTACGCCATGACGCCCTCAATGGCCTTGACGCGGTCCATGTTGCGCAGGGCGCTCTCGCCGCGGTCTAGTAGACTGCCGCTTCCGTGGGTCGAGCCGCCGTGTTGGGAGGCGCCGTCGTCTGACAGAGGGGGCTCATAGACTTCTTCTTCTTCTAGGAGTTGGGGGTGGGCGTTGAGTTTGCCGTAGCAGCCTGAGCAGTGGCAGAGTTTCTCGCGGAAGTCTTCTTTAAAGAAGAGAGAGAAGCGGCCTTGCGGTGCGACGGGTAGATTAGGTAGCTTGCACGATGTTGGACCGCTATCCTTGGTTTCTTCCTCTGCGGCGTGTTCTCCTGGCTTGGCAGTAGCCTCAGTGGGCTGTGCTGCAACGTCTTCCATTGCAGCAGACTCGATAGTTGACGTTTGGTCCTCGCTCTTAATGCGCTTCGCGTCTGCTGCCTCTTCATCCTCCTCGTCTTCAGCCTTGCGCTTCTTGGATGCAGCTGTTGCCGTGCTCTCATTGGATGGTGATGCTGCAGAAGCCTCGGGCTGCTCCAGGAACAGAGCTGGTAGGAAGCCCGAGGTTCCTGCATATTGTTTGATCCAAGGATTTGCTTCCACGCACTTGTAACACAAGAACCCTTCAAAGTCGTCTTCAGCCGGAAATCCGGGAGGCATCGGCGTCTCGTCATCGTCATCCTCCACTGCCACGTCGTCTGCGGCCTCTGTTGTGTCGTTATTTGACTGGGCCTCGTCTTTTTCGGTAATTGTTGCAAGCGCACCTCCCTTCTTCTCAGTCTCTTTTGGTAGAGCCTTTGATTTGCTCTTGTTCATCTGCTCAAACCAGTTGGGCCCCATGCCTACCAGGCAGCCCGGGTGATACCAATCCTCTCCACAGCCTCCAGTCTCGGCGGTGCCCAGCCCAAGGCATTGGAACATGGTTCCCTTTTGCTCAAATGGATCATAGTCGCATTCGCAGCAGCAGAATCGGTTCTTGAAATTGTGGTTGTACTTGTTGTTGGCATCCGGCTCCTCAGAGTGTACGTTGCCCTTGGTATTGGTCTCGCTATTGACGCGTAGCGTGCATGGGCTGCTGGACGGGAAGCGTGTGGTTCCGCAGTCGCATGTGAAATTTCGCTTCTGGAAGATCTCGACAAGTGTATGCTCGCCATGACACGAGACTGAGCAGGCGTAGCACATGCCCGCCGGGTTCCAGGCATCTTCAGGCTTTGTCGGCGCAGGGTTGCAGGTCAAACAAGCGAAAACGCTCTGTCGAAGCGGGCCGAGGATCTTGGTGCATGTTTCGATGCTCTATTGAGATAAACAGTTAGCAATTGATGAAGTCGTGTGTATCGTGGGGTTTAGAGCTGGGGTGTAGACGTACATAAGGCAGAGCCTCGCGAGCGTCAGCTTCGAGGATTTCCTGGTCGCGAAGAAAGCTGAAGAATTGAACGTCAGCATGAGATAATTCAATGTGTTAGAGGCAGCTGAGGCCAGGTCGGAACCTACTCGGCGGCGGTTTGAGAGTCGTCGGATGCCCGCGACTGCTGGGAAAAGCTGTTGCTGCGGCCCGTCGCACGCTCTGTCTTTGACTCTGCGGCGGATAGTGATAACGATTCAATCGTTGGAGGTGGAGGAGGGTTGTCGGACATGGTCGCAAGGCAAACAGAGAGATGTAACGATGAAAGGGCGATATACCGAGAGATGGGATGGATGGGCAGAATCCAAAGAAAGAGACGAGAGCCAAATGCTAGGCTGTGGCTGTAGCTTGCGGTCCTGCAGCCTGCTTTACAAAGTACAGTGCCCTGTGGTAGACGGGGCGATGGCGCTGTAAGATTCGGTTTGCGACAAGCTCAGCTGACAATATACGCTGTACGTGAAGTCGCGGTTACAGCTCATGACTTGCTCTGGTATTTTTGTCAGCATGACACGAAATGACGAAGGCATGAATCGAGAGGTCCAAAACCACTTTACGCGTCGGCGCCAAACGGGCCTAGCGCCACTCAATTAACGCGTCTCCAGCGCGTTTAGCACGCCTCGCAGCACCAAGCTCAGCCAATTGCTCCCTAATCTCGTTGCCCCCACCGACAAGGCACAAAGCAGCTGCATCGCCAGATTTCGCTTTTCTCTTTGCAAGCTGCAAACCCCAAAGCAGCCACCGACGACCAGCGCGAGCCCATTGATAGCCGTCGCTATGAGGTATGTCAATTGACTCTGATTCAACTCTTCCCAAATTCTTTCTAACCTCCAACACCAGTTCTCCGCTTCGTAACCACCCTGCGTCTGGCAATCGTGGCTCTGCCCCGCGATCAGGCCGCAAGCGCTCTCGTCCCGATGGCGACGATGTTACTACGCCTGGTGCCCTGAGCTCCAGCCCGCTGCCCTCATCTCCGCCGGGGCCTCTCAACTTTGCGCATGGAGTCGAAGACGATGAGGATATCGAGGAGGAGGCAGAGATTCAGGATGACCTTGATGATATTGACGAGATGGCAGACGACGATGTCGATCTGTTCCGTGAAGGCTTCGAGGCCGATTACAGAGATAGAGAGGATGATGTCTACGAAGGCGCAGGATTGGATGATGAAGGCGACTTTGACTCTATGGAACTGGGCGAGAGGCGGCGGCTGGAGGCCCAGCTAAATCGACGAGACAAAGAAGTTGCCCGTCGGCAAAGAATCCCTGCCGCATTCCTCCCCGGCGATGACGATGACGGCGATATCGATCTGACGGCGCAACCTCGCAGACGAAGACATCACTACGACGAAGACCCTGATGATGCCATGGATGCTGATATCATGGAAGAGGAGCTCTCCCTTGAAGCCCTAGGCGATGTCAAAGCCTCCAATCTAACAGAGTGGGTGTCTCAGCCTCCGGTACAGCGGACAATCAAGCGAGAATTCAAGGCTTTCTTGACTTCCTACATTGACGCCTCTGGCTCTTCCGTCTATGGTAACCGAATTCGGACGCTGGGTGAGATCAACGCGGAGTCCTTGGAGGTCTCATACGAGCACCTGGCCGAAAGCAAGGCCATCCTTGCCTACTTCCTGGCCAACGCCCCTGCAGAGATGCTCAAGCTCTTTGATGAGGTAGCTATGGACGTTGTGTTGCTACATTACCCTGATTATGAGCGAATTCATTCCGAGATTCACGTCCGCATCTTCGACCTGCCCGTCCACTACACTCTTCGACAACTGCGCCAATCGCATCTCAACTGCCTTGTGCGAGTTAGCGGTGTTGTCACTCGTCGGAGTGGTGTCTTTCCCCAGCTCAAATATGTCAAATTTGACTGTGGTAAGTGTGGTGAGACTCTAGGCCCTTTCCAACAAGAATCACATGTCGAAGTCAAGGTCACATTCTGCCAGAGCTGTCAGTCTCGCGGCCCTTTCACTTTGAACTCTGAAAAGACAGTCTATCGCAACTACCAACGACTCACACTCCAAGAGTCACCGGGCACTGTTCCCGCCGGTCGTCTCCCCCGCCACAGAGAAGTCATTCTCTTGTGGGATCTCATTGACAAGGCCAAGCCTGGCGAAGAGATTGAAGTTACGGGTGTTTACCGAAATAACTACGACGCTCAGCTGAACAACCGCAACGGCTTCCCTGTTTTTGCCACCATTCTGGAGGCCAACAACGTCGTCAAGACTCACGATCAGCTTGCTGGATTCCGCTTGACCGAAGAGGACGAGCAGGAGATCCGTAAATTGGCCCGCGATCCCAACATTGTAGAACGGATTGTCAACTCTATCGCCCCCAGCATTTATGGACACACTGACATCAAGACGGCGGTTGCTCTGTCTCTGTTTGGCGGCGTTGCCAAGACTGGTCGAGGAGCACATCACGTCCGTGGCGATATCAACGTGCTCCTTCTTGGAGACCCCGGAACGGCCAAATCACAAGTCCTCAAGTATGTCGAGAAGACAGCACACAGAGCTGTGTTTGCAACTGGTCAGGGTGCCAGTGCTGTTGGTCTGACGGCTAGTGTGCGTCGAGACCCTTTGACCAGCGAGTGGACGCTTGAAGGTGGTGCTCTCGTCCTGGCAGACAGGGGCACGTGCCTCATCGACGAGTTCGACAAGATGAACGATCAAGACAGAACTTCGATTCACGAAGCCATGGAACAGCAGACCATTTCTATATCCAAAGCAGGTATTGTGACCACTTTACAGGCTCGCTGCGGCATCATTGCTGCTGCCAACCCGATAGGAGGACGATACAATTCGATGATACCGTTTTCGGCCAACGTGGAGCTGACGGAACCTATTTTGTCACGTTTCGATATCCTTTGTGTTGTGCGAGATCTGGTGGAGCCATCTGAAGATGAACGGTTGGCGAGGTTTATCGTTGGTTCTCACGGGCGAAGCCATCCTTTGTCACAGGCTCGTCCAGATGTAGATGGTACTGCTGCTACCACACAAGACAGTGCAATGGATACTCAGCAGACAAGCGCATCAAGAGGTCAGAGGGATGGCACAGAGATTCCCCAGGAGCTATTGCGCAAGTACATCTTGTATGCTCGCGAGCGCTGCAGCCCCAAGCTCTACCACATGGATGAGGACAAAGTAGCGCGACTCTTCGCGGATATGCGAAGGGAATCTCTTGCCACAGGAGCCTATCCGATTACTGTAAGTTCAGATCTAATCAGTTGCTGGACAAACATCCTTTATCTTGCATTGTGTTATACTAATATCTGTTGTGATCAGGTTCGTCATCTTGAAGCCATTATTCGAATTAGCGAAGCATTCTGCCGAATGCGTCTCTCCGAATACTGCTCAGCACAAGACATTGACCGAGCAATTGCTGTTACGGTAGAGAGTTTTGTGGGCAGCCAAAAGGTCAGCTGCAAGAAGGCTCTTGCACGAGCCTTTGCCAAGTACACGCTGGCCCGGCCGGGTGCGAAGAAGGGAGCGAGGGGAGCAAGCCAGCGGCAACCGGACGCTGTGATGGCGTAATAAATGTTTTCGTAATTTGATAACGGGGATAAGAGGATGGATGTATGGACATGTTTACTAAGATGATGAGGGTTTGGACTAGAGTATTGAGGGCGTTTGGAATTGAACTCAAGTAGCACAGGATTAAAACAATGGACACGGTTTACAATATTTCTCATACTTGAAGCTGTCTATGTTTGACTTTGTAGGCGACTCATCGGTGAGAAAATGAGAGACGATCCCTCCAGGGGAGGCTAAAAATGCTGTGAAATTGTTCACTAACTGTGAAGAATTGAACGGACGAATCAGAGTCTATACATACAACAGGCTGAAGCTCTTGTGGGGTATGAAACATATAGGATCATAGCGAAGATGGCCTTGGGAGAGGTTAAAATTGCTGTGAAGCGAGCGAATTATATATAATACCTATCCTCTCTACTGTCGTCGCGTCGATCTAACATACAAATGAACCGTGTGAGCATTCAGCCGCCTTCCTTTACTAGTGCCTTGTTTGAAAGCGACAGCCTCCAGGGAGATTAAAATTGGTGTGAAGCGCCGTATCGCATATGTAATATCTTCTTACTATAAATAGCTACTGACTTCTTCAATATGGCTACTGCAATGGAGGGCTTTCATAGACAGGATAACGACTTTCCCTTATTAATAAAGTAAAAATGGTGCATGCCTACACCTTGTCGGGAAGCATAGCCCAATCAAGCAAATTTGGGCAGTATCTCCACGCAAAATTCATTTCTTAACGAACATAAAGTAATGGGTTCTGTCATTTGAAAGCTGTTGAAAACATATCGATTATTAAAGCTTGTAACACATGTATATTTTTCGTAACCTTTGCTTGAAGTGCATTTAAAACACTTGTCTCCAAAAGCTCCACCCAAATATGATATATGTGGTGAGGGCGCATGTCTGCTCAGTCCACCTTCATATTGTGAAAGAATTGCCTTCTACTCTTGTAGACCGACAACGTAGCACGACAAAAGGTAGCAACATACGGTAGAAGGCGTGCTATAGGGTCAGAGCTAGACTACCGCAAGGGTAGCAATACGGCCCAGGATGGGGCGACTGTTGCCGGCAGCACTCGTGTCTGTTGCAGCAACTGAATTAGACACCATAGAAGGGCCACTATCAGTAATACGCCTGAAACTACGAATTCTGGGTATAATATCCTTGAAGGACTCCACGGCTATTGGCCACTCCCTAGCCATTGCGAAAAACACAATGCGCATGAATAGAACTCCGGAAGCTCATTGGGCATGAGCTCGTCAGATTGACAAATAAGACAATAGGGCTCATTGTTCTTTATAGGACACCAAAGCTCTCTTACTATGCCTTGAGATTGCTTTTTCGTGGTCCATAACTGAGAAGGGATCCTCCTATCTTTCTAGTAAACCAAGCACTGGGAATACGGCAACGCTGAACAAGAGCCTGGAATGAGCCTGGAATTTAGCGTCTCTTGCTGAATACAATATTCAGATATTACTATTTTTCTTAATTAATTTAGAAAAATAGTGAACAACGACAGAATTACTATCTCTTTACAGTGAATGTTGGCTTCGCCTTACAAAGCTGGCTCCCGCTTTATGCGTGATAGCCGTCTTTCCCGTTTGACACTATTTCCGGTTTTAGTAATACTCCCCGCGTAGCATCATGACGCATTATCAATCCCGTTCATTGTACCACGTTCCATGCCCTTTCATTCTCTTTGTTGAATCTTGGCCTCTTGGCTTGTAAAGAGTAAAAGAGTAAAAAAGAGAGATATTTCCCATTACATAATTAACACTCTTCTGCGCCTGGTGAGAGCGCCATGACTCGGCAAGAAGGGCGCAAACGCTCGAAGCTCGCCTGTCAGACCTGCCGCGATCTCAAGCGCAGGTGTGACGGCGCTCGTCCCTGCGGAACATGCGTTCGCTTTGAATATGACTGCACTTACAATGCCTATAGGAAGAGACGGGACATTGAACAGTATCTGGGGCCGGTCGGAGAACTGACGCCTTCGCGGTCCAGCGCAAAATCCTCTCACGATGAGTTTCCGTTAACGGCGAGTCCGCATATCCAGGCCCGATCTGTCGAGGCAAACTCATGTCCTGCCTTTGTGAGGACGTTGGCGCTGAGGCTGGATCCGAAGAGGAATCCTCGGATGCTAAGCTTTGCCTGGAATGCCTTTCTTGGATCGCGGCAGACTCATCCTACACCGTCCTTTCAGTCCATCACAGATGTGGTATCACAGAAGAGGCTGGAAGACTTGGCTGCCGTCTACTTCCAAAAGGTGGACCCCGTCTATGGCTTCGTCGATGGCGAGGAAATAGAAGACGATATACGCCGCCGGTGGACGGTTCGAGATGCCACACAGGCGCAGGACGCCATACTGTGCGGCATCGGCGCGCTGGGATGCCTCTTCTCACAAACACAAACCGATTCCACCGACCCTGTCGAATCTGCGCTGCTAGAGCTGGCAAAGAATCTGCTCGAGAAGACAATGTCCGATCCTCCGACTATTGAGAGCATTACCGCGTGGCTGCTGCGAGTTACTTACCTACGAGTCGCGGGGAACCAGTACACGGCCTGGATGGCCAGCTGCACGCTGATGCACATGATTGATGCGGCTGGCTTCAATGTCGAATCGCCTGGGAAAGCCGTGCTTCCATCTCCGCCTCAGGCAGTCAGCATGGAGACGCGGAAGAGGATCGTGGCCATCGCGCAGCATCTCAACGTCTGGATGTCGTTTGACATGGGCCTCACTCGCGTTGCGCTCCCAAACATCAGCACGACAGTTTCCTCAGCGCGAGAAGGAGACTCTACGTGTGAAATCATAGAGCTGCTCCCATTCTCCGTAGAGCTCGATCCGCAGAGAAAGCCCACGGCGCTGGAGCTCGAGTGTGCTCTGCAGATAGTGCTGAGCCGCGTGCACTCCAGCCCGCCGTCAATTCTTGCTCAGTGCAATCTGGCGCTGTGTCTCTGTCGCCGTTTACGATCGATGGAGGTTGCCTTGCCGGATTCTGTGCTCCAGCAAGTCCTGATGCTGACGTCCAATGGCATCCAAGCTGCTCAAGCAGTGCTCGCCGCTCGAGCACCCTGGCACCAGATGGTCTACGTGCCATTTCAGATCGTTTGTGTGCTGCTTGCCATAGACACGGTATCTTCCATCTCTCAGCTGCGAGGTGCGATGCAGTGTCTCAAGGACATTACAGCCGTCTATAATACGGAGGCAACACAAGATGCCTTGAAGACCGCTCGCTCGCTTGTTTTCCTGCATCAAAAAGGAAAAGAAATGTTTGCTTCGGCCTTGGGCGAGATACTGAGCAACGGCCCAATGACGCCTGTTGGAGAAGCACCGGGGATCTCGCCGATGCTTCTGGAAGATACCTTTGGCACGGGCAACTTTACAGATCAGTTCTTTGGTCTGCCGTATAACGATATAGACCAGCTTGTGAATCCCGATTTCTTTTGGAACATTAACGGCTATGGGTTATGAGTACACGACGATGATTCCCTTATTTTGAGTAATATATTAATACCCAGATTTTTTACTTAGGATTACAAAAAGTTCATATAATCAATTCTATCAAAAATTGGAGAAATGAACACTACGCGAAGTAGAAATGCAAAATCTGTTCTTTCTTGCTACATCACATTCACTTCTTGAAACAATTGTCGACATTCTGACCACAAGACTTTGTAAATTTTCTGTATCAATAGGCATACTAAATGAATGTTCAACAAAATAGCGCCGAAACAGTCGATTGAGTTGAATACGCTTATATAAGAGCCATGTCAACAAAATGACCCCTTGCCTACATGTTTATCTAGTTGAGTAGACTGAGCTCTCGCTTGATGCTATCTCGTAGCCCAGCCTTGTCCTTGATGCCCAATAGCTCGCCGTCATTCGCCTCAAGGTCAACAGGGACCCCAGATGCATCGGCAAAAAAGGCATATTGAACAAAAGGACCAACCGACTGCCCGTAGTCCCCCTTTGCAACACTAGCAGTTGCTGCTTCTATCAAGTCACTGCCTTTGACATGGCTGACCTGGTATTTAGAGCCAGACTCTTCTTCAAAGATCTTCAAAACTTCGTTTTGAGTTGTCTTGAAGGAAAAGACATTCAAAAACTTATTTGCTGTTTCTTCCGGCTTCTTCAAAATGGCAGCAACAGTTTCACCAACAAAGTAAGTGTTTGAAGCGGCATAGGGCTTGTTGCCGGAGTCAATGATTTCTCCAGTCTTTGCTTTGGCGTTGATTCCGAGAATGAATTGAGTTTGGATGCCCTTCGTCGACCCATTAGCTTATTGTGTACATTTAGGATAGCCTCATGGTGATTACGGCCTTACCCAGTCAAAGAAGAAGCCGCATGCCAACCCCGTCCAACTGAACCACTTGTTCTTCGCAGCAACTTCATCCAGATATTCGTTCAGCTTGACTTTGTTGACGACCATCCAGCCCATATCCTTTTCCGAGGTGCGCCGATTGTCGACGCCGAATTCGGATGGGAGAAAACGTCGGACTTTGGCAGCAACGGCAGCGTCGACGATTGTCTTTTGGTCATCAAGAGCTGCTGGGGAGATTGCGGAAACCAGGGCATCATGACCTTGCAGTACTTCTTGAACTGCTTCCTTGGAGGTTATATCGACCCTTTTCACGTCAACTCCATCCGCAAAGGTGGCTTGGGACTCAAGTCGGGTAATAGCAGTAACCTCAAAGTTATGGTTGAAAAGGGCTTTGATGATGGAAGGTCCGATATTTCCAGAGCCCTGCTCAGTCATTAGCCATTCAACACTCTGCAATCAAGGGCCTTGAGTAAACTTACGCCCAATACTGCGACTTTCTTAATAGCGGCCATTTTGTTATCGTCGACGACTCTTTTTGAAATCTGGTGAAATGTGTTTGATGGTAGTTTTGTTGCTCTTGAGGATTGAGATGAGCACTCAACGGATCAACGACTCTTTTATATACTTCTTGTGGTACCTGGTGTGCCCATGATGTAACATATCTATTTCGCTACGGAGTTCTATTGCGAGCGAAAAGAAGATTGCTGAGAAATCAGGTCAGAAAGTATGGAACACTATGCACCTGTAGCTTAATGCTTTAGGAAACTGCCTTGAGACTAATTTCGTAACAAAACCATGTCTTTCGTCTTAAGGCGTCTGTTTCTACCATGTTCCCTACTAGATCGACTGTTGTTCAACAAGAAATGGTGATTTGGATGAGTAATCGATTTATGAGAACCAATCCAAGAGACTCCTCAGCTTCTACGAGTTGATATGGAAAGCACGTCTTTTGCGACGTTAGGCAGCTTTACTGACGAATCTTCCAGCGTTTAATTCAGCCTTCTATGTAAAAACCATGTAATCACGTCGAGAATCACTACGCCAGGCTGCAGCCAAATATTAGATGCCATACTTGGTGGATTAGTACGCAACGACTAATCGTTAGCGACTTCCTGGCAAGTTTACTGGCGGGTTTCGGCGGTAATGTCGGAATGTGGCGGCCAATGAGTGATAGATCACCGCAACCGCCGCAACATCCCGCACCTCACTCTTGTCTTCTCGTTTCACCGTCTATCTGTTTTCTCCCAATGGATCTCATGAAAAATGCTGGCCGCTATACGCGGACCGCTTGCTTCCCCTGCCGCCACAGCAAGAGACGCTGCGACAAGTCTCTGCCGGCTTGCCAGCTGTGTATCCGGAAAGGGGTCGAATGCAGCTATCCAACCCGCCGAGCTCAGAAATATGTTGTGCTGCCACAGTCCAGCGAGACGTCCCAAATCACTGCGCCTATGAGAGACAATTCGACAACTAGCGGAGTAACTCGCAGCAGTGAGTCGGCTTCACTGGAGCGAGGAGGATCCGTGGAAGCGCCACCGGCAACGGACGTCGTTCAGTCGTTTGCTACGGCCACGGCTATCCAGTTTATTGCACCTAGGATTTTCCGCGACGCGCACCTGGAGATTCCACGTGTAAATATTGCAATTCCTAAAGATGTTGCTGCTCACGTTGGAGATTTGGGGCAGATTCGTGATATTTATGCCACGTTTTCCTCACAGGCCGTGATATGGACGCCGGTGATCTTCCGAAAGAACTTTTTCAACATTGCGCTCAACCCACTATCTCCACGACGGGTTGAAGGCGTCTTGATGTGCTTGTGTATGAAACTGTACTGCACATCCGCGCCCTCGTTTGAGGACGACGGAAAAAGGACGCTTTACAAAATGGCTAAAGAATTCTACGCTGAGGTGGAAGCCACTGGCATTATGTCTGTTTGTATCTTACAATCGGCTCTGCTAATTGCTGTCTACGAGATTGGGAATGCAATCTATCCGGCGGCATATATGACCGTTGGAAGCTGTGCTCGCTACGGTGTTGCTTTGGGCCTGGATAAGTTGACGGTCAGCTTGACAGGAGAAGGCAACTTGGGCAAGCCTTGGATGGAGATAGAAGAAATGAGGCGGGTTTGGTGGGGAATACTCATATTAGATCGGTATGTTGCTCCTAATGGTGCGGGCGTCATTATCGCTAACCCTGAAAACAGGTTTCTCAATCTCGGAAACCCTTCAAGATGTCTAATGACGAAAGATCCGGCATATGATGATTACCTCCCAGTGGACGATCGGACTTTTCTGGATGCCGTAAGCACTTTGGATGATTATACCAACTATAGAAAAATAATATGTTTAACCTGTCACCTTTTAGACAGCAAGGCCCCAAGACAACATCAAAATCTCTGCCGCATTTGCTCTCAGGATGGGCCCATTCGCCAGATTAGCCCAGGCCACGTATTTGGTGAACCAGGCTCTCAATCTTCTATCGCCTCTTCCTATAGAGGATGAAGAAGTTGATTCATTCGACATTGGAAAGGAAAGCGCACAGCTACGCCGCACAATCGAGGCTCTAGTCTATCTAACCAAGACGGAATTTGACTTTCGCGATTTGGTGACTTGCTGTCAAGCTGCGGTCTCGTACTGGTAGGTCCGTCTCATCGCGGAAGTATATAATTGGTGTTGAAACTTGAATAGTGCCATACTTTTGCTCCAAGAGTACCATTGGAGACGAATGCGCATCACCTCAACCGAAGAAGCATGCCTTCATATGTTTGTGGAGTCGCGACGTACCCTGGAGAAATTGGCGACGATGGCCTCTTGTATGCGGGAAGACGCAGAAGCGGGAAGAACACTAGATGAGGAGTTTCCAGTGTTTCTCGCACAAGTCATCTATCAGGCAGGATTGGCCACTGTCGAAATGGGCCAGGGAAATCCTGATAAGCAGCTCAGAGAAAGACTAGATACGTTCAAGTGGCTACTTCGGCACATACAGCCGAAGTGGCGGGTAGCAGGTAGGCCAGCCAGCCAAAGCTTTTGTGCACTTGACTCTAACATTTATATATAGGTATATATCTATCCATTTTGCAGTCCAAAGAGGTAATGCTTGCTGCTGCTATTTAGTGGTATATGAACCTGTTGATATGGGAGAACTTGTCTCAAAAAGCATGAGGCTTCGTTTTAACATCAAGCAGACCGCCGTATGTCTAGTATATAGCCGAAGGAGCGTACATAATTCATGTATAGAGATTCAAGAGACTGTATCTCAGTGCTCATAGAACCACTAAGCGAGTGAACGATTTTTAGAAACAGGCTGAGGACCCTGCTTCAGATACATATACAGTGCTAATCATATTATTTTATTATGAATACTGCTGCGCCTATACTAACGGTGATCAAACATGGTGTGATCGTCCAGCGACAGTCTTTTTTCCGACAGACGTAATTCTATCAACGAACTATCCGACGGCTTCCACTGGCCATCCAAATGCGCGCATACCACTGGTGAAGAATCTCCATCCAGCCCGGCATGGGCCCATTCTCGCCCTCTACCTTGCGATCGCTGTGGAAGAGACAGCTCTTGAGCGTCAGGCGCGCAACCTGAGCCTCTCGATCGATGGTGGCGCCAATAGCGAACAGGCCGTCAGATGGCCGTGGGCCACCGTTCCGGGGAGAATCACCACAACGGACAATGATTTCGTTTGGCGTGCGGTCCACCACTTCAAAGTGGTCTGTCAGAACGGTGCCGGGTTCATAGCTGGAGGCAGCAAGCTGGTCCCGAGTCCAGAGCTGCGACGACGTCTCAGGGCTGTACCATTTGCGGTGCAGAAAACGCCGCTGTATTTCGTAACCTGCCGACTGTTAGCAATAAGCACTTTTAACGATACAAAAATGAGATTTAGTTTAGGGAGCCTCACCCCAGCCACTCCATAAGCCACGACAAAACTCTAGAGCAAGATCGCCCTCCTTCTGGAGCAACTCTGGGCGGATGCGGTTGAGAGGGATTGTCTTGACGCAGATATCGTTGGTGGCGGCATTACGGTGCGGATTGTACTTTTTGTATACGCCAGAGCTGTACAGCGCGTCATTGAGAGGAATAGGCGCGATGATGCTCGTCGACAGGCGAAGGTAGCCAACTGCTGCAGCTGTGCCGGCAGTTACTCCGAGAACGGTCTTGCGGATGATACCCATTGCAAGCTGTAAGAGTTTACATGCAGTTTAGAGGCTGGAGTACCGAGCTCTGATGCTTAGACACGGGCTGTGGCACGCGATGTAGGTGAATGGTGGAAGTTTAAGGTTGGAGATGGGAAACTCAACGTCAAACTGAAGCTGCGATATCTGCACGCAGATCGTGGCGCTAATAGCACCTCATAACTGCCCCGCCGCGACACGAACGCCTCCACAATTGATTGTAAGCTGGCTGGCACTAGCGAAACTGTGGTGCAGCTGGGCGGGCTATTCAGTGTTTCCAAGGCATTGGGGAACATGCTGCCGCCAATTTGGAAGCTACAGGTTCCTGATAAATTGCATAAGGAGAAGCGCGATGTATGTATGTCGCTTGGCCTATAAAGCAACTCATCGGATGATAATAGAATCAAGTTTCAAGTTATGAATAATCCGTAAGGGCGGTAGTTACCATGGCAGATACGGCTACTAGGAGATTATAATACGTAGATTTATCATTAATTTTGTTTCGTTATTAAATGCTGATATTCTGATCCGCAGGGAGAGGTTTTGTCTTTTAGGTAGCAAAGGTCAAGGCCAACGTATATACAAATCACCACGTTACCTCCCGATATACTTGAGCTCAAGATATCTCGCCGGTGCGTACGTGATTGCCGTCACAACAAAGGTAAACTCGTTGGCAACATCGCCACCATATACGCCAATAAGCTTCGCAAGAGGCCCAACGAACCACGTCTCATCCATGCCCATGCACCAGCAAATGACACCAAGCAGAAAAGCGACAGAGGCTCCAATGCCCACGGGCAGTCGTGCAGGGTCATTCCAGCCCTCCAGGTCGTAGTTGGCGAAGTCGCCTTTCCGGAAGATGAAGTGCTCCTGGAACAAGATGACGCCGTAGCTCGTGCACCAGTATCCAAGGAGACTCAAAAAGTTCTGCAGGTAAGCATTCAGCTGCTCTCTACCACCGAGAGCTAAAGCGAGAATGCAGAGAAAGCAGAAGATGGTCCAGATAAATCGGGGGACGAGGGCAAAAGGCCGTGATAGTTGCTGAAACGAAATGGCTGCACTGTAAATGCTAATGACGTTGGTGTTGATGCCAGACAGCACGAGCAGAGTAAGCAGGAACTTGGCGAATCCCCTCGGGTAGAGCATCGTTTGGATCAGATAGCCCAGGCCTTCCTCGTACGCAGTCGCCCAGTCAGGTTTGGAGCCGAGAGCTGAGGCTACGACACAGCCAGCAACCATACCGATGGACGTGGGAATCGCAATGCCAAAGGTCGTCATGAGGAAGACCTTGAGCCGGCTGACATTGGCCGGATAGTGAACATAGTAGTCGCTGACCATGGTGCACCAGGAAGCACTTGAGCCATACACAATGGCCAACAAGCTGAGGACAGCACCGGAAAGCGTCGATCCAGTGGCAGTCGGAGGCGAAGAGTTGTCTGCGTATTTACCAGTTTCGCCAAAGATGATGAGGAAGATGACGAAAAAGATGATCCAGGCATATCTCTCATACACCAGAATGGCATTCAAGCCGATGAATGATATGACCAGCGCAACAACAGCCAGAATGACGATACCGAGGATGAGTGAGACATGGCCGTCAGACACGGCTGTGAGGGCCAGGCCACCGGTGATACACGAAACTGCCGCCCAGCCCATCTGCTGGATACTGTTGAGCAGCGCAATGACCTTGTTCGGCCACCAGCCAAAGCTGTACCGGCTCACGCTGATCTGCCGCAGTCCGGTCGCGGCTCCAAACGTCGCACAGTAGCCGGTGATGGCGCCACCCAGAATCGAGGCAAAGATGGTGACCACAATGGCCTGCTTGAGGCTCAGGCCAAACTGGGCGCCCAGGAAGCCCGTTGCAAAGCAGGACGTGTTCATCGTTCCGCTGGCCCAGAGCAGGGCCATTGTCAGCTCCTCGTACCATGGCACGGGCTTCTTGTCCTGCTCCAGCTTGCGGTTGATGGCCTCGGATTCGATTCCCAGCTTCTTGTCCATGTGCGCCTCGAGCCTGCGGAGACGAAACAGCAGCCCGCTCGACGGTCCAGTGGCCAGCTCCGCAGAAGTGTCGTCAGAAACATTGGCCACGGGGTCTTTCTCGTCGATATGATGGCCGGCTGGCCGGTGGCCGATCTCTGGGTCGTACTCCATCCTGTGAAATTGTCCGTCCACAGCACTCTGAGGGGGGAAACAGTTGCAGTTGTGCAGTGTGCAGTGTGCACTTGTCTCCTGCTGAAGCCGTGGAACTGGTGGGGAGCCGTACCTTTTGAACAAACTTTTCCTTCTCTCCAGATAAGAGACGGGCCGTTGGGATCCAATTTTTAGCGGTTCCTTTTGCGCGCCACCTCACGCGACCTGCTGAAGATTGTCCAGAGCAGGCTTATCTTGATGCACTACTGAGTCCGTCCCCAGCCAGCTAGTTGAGCCGAGCTGCCTCTCCCGTAGCGAGCTTCACAAGACAGGCTGCAGACCCTTGCCACGTTACGGAGCAGATACTGGAGTGAGTATGAGCCGTACGCTAGTCAGTGATATTGCGGGGTGGAGTACGAGGTACGAGGAACGCAGCGTTATCGTTGTCTTACAGGCACAAAGAGGGATCAAGGAATGTAGATGATGCAAATGCTACTCTATGTTGGTTACATGTAACCAGGCTGCTCTGTACGACATGGCAGAGGCAAATGTTTCTCCGGTGACCAGGTACATGTACCTACTGCAGCTCATCGCTCTGTCTCATGCTTAATTCCAGATCTCTCAACCTTGTTACCTCTCATAAATCGTCGCTTTATTTCTTCAACTCCTTGATATCAAGTTTGGGCACTAGTGGCTAAAACTCGAGGGCTAGCAGGAGAATAGCACCGCACTACGGCACCGCTATCCGGTAATCGGTGGGTAAGTCGCTTCCAGTTGGCTGGGAAAAAGGCTGCGTCGGTCAAGCTTCCGGGCACTAGAGCTGGTGGTGGCAATTAGTCGAGATCTTTTGTAGAGCGCGGAGTACTCCGCGTATCACTGCATCTGCTCGGGCAAACGAGGATTTCAGCGGCATCCAGCACTAACAACGCCTTGAAAGACGCCGGCGTGCCATGTGTCTGACAGGATCGAGAATAGTTACATAATCGTCGGCCGTCTCCGTCTTTTCAAGCGATAATTCTGTGTTGCCTGCGCCTCGACCCTTGTTCTACCAAAGTACATATAGTTTGACACTTGGCTAACAAATTCAACCGACAACTATGGGGGAGGTTTGCACCGCCGGGTAAGTAAAATGGATATAGCGCATGGCCTTGATCGTACAAACCTAACAGGAACAGTAGTCAACGCCCTTCTTCCACATAGAACCTGAATCATTTTATGAAAAGGGCGAGACCCCTAAACTCCACTCGGATACGGAAATTCTGTTTTGCTCCGAAGCCTCGCGCTAATTCTGTCTTCTGACAACGGCATCCGTCTGGGGTTCTTAGTCGATGCCACCGTTAGTTCAACCCACAATCTGGATACTGCGAGATACCTATTCTGTGGGACAAATTGTATGTGCTATTACCTAATAGTAAAAGTGCAAATAAGCTCTTATTCGTATTATGGAGTAGTCTAGAAGCTACCATGATATAGGCTGCCATTATATAGGCTTTATCGACTTCATCGCCCTGAGGTAGCTTTACAAAACTCATCAGAACATGAAATCTGCCATTCATGAGCTAGCTGAGACACAATTTATATCCAAAAGGCCATCTTCCATGTTGGTACAGATCCATTGAGGCGTTTTGCCGCTAGGATTAGCCACCGAGATGTTTTGGGCAGCGATGTTAACACATTTCTTCACACGTCATGTTAGCTCAAGCTTAATGCCCTTTCAATGGCAACTTACTTCGGGAGAGGAGCATGTCAGAGTCCCAACATCGGGGTCATACTTGGACGACGTTGTTCCCCACATGTTCTTAAACAAGACATCGCTGATGGTCATGTTGGAAGAATACTTGTCGCAAATAGTCTGGTTGCTCTGCCCGTAGCACTGGTTGATCTCGATAGCCCAATCGTTGTTGTCGTTGTAAACGTGTCATACGTGACATTCTTCACGTATCCTGCTCCTCCTCCTCCTGATAGACCAGGCTGAAATGGAGTATCTGTACCAGGCCATACTTTAATACGAGCGCCGTCGCTGGCGTTGGACATTGAGATGTTGTATACATATACGTTCTCAACTATGTCGTATTCTGCGGGATATTGGCCGAGAGAGCCGACTGAGATGCCGTGGGAACCATTGCACTGCAAGCCTTGAACAATGATGTTGGTGCTGTTAGGCTTGAACGACACGCAGTCGTCGCTGTTATTAACATGGGAGTTCTGTATGACGACGCGATTACTTCGAAAGGTGTCCCATCCGTCACCATTCTTGGCCGGATTGCTGCTCTCGCTGCGAACTGCAATGTCAATATCGCTGACAAGGATATCAGTGCTATTAGCGATGAGGTTGAACCACTGCATACAGTCAGTGATCTTTCTCTTCACATGTATACGCAGAGAAACTTACATCGGGAGAGTTTCGCATTTTGAGGCCCGTAATAGAGCCCGCTTTCAGTCCGTCTAGAACAAACAAAATAGGTCGTAAAAGAGTAGGGTTAGTCGCAAATGCATCGTACCAAGCTTGGCCGTTTCCGTCAAGTAAACCGTGACCCCCTCCGTAGATGTTGACGTCTTTTCCTCCAAAACGCCAGAAGGCGGTTGAGTTCTGGAAGGCATATTTGAACGAGTTCTGCACCCAATAGTCAATGTCATTGGAGAACTTTATGGTGCCAGTGAGGACAACGTCTACAGCCTCCAGGAAAGTGAGATCCAAGGGGGATGCAATAATGTAAGTGCCATCCAATACCACGCGGCCACCTCTGTTGCAATTTTTGAAAGCTCTGAGAATCTCAGGAGCACTGTCGATATCTTTATGATTGTGGAAATGAGAAGAGCTGGGGACGTAGCATGTCTTGTGGCGATTGGGAGAGTGTGGGAACGGCCGCCCTGGCGTCTTGGGCCCCCATTGAAGCTTGGGTCTTTCAAGTACAGTCTTACGAGCGTCAATGGGATATACCGAGAGCAATAAAGCTCCCCAAAAGAGTAACTTGCTGAGAATAGCCATTTTACTGGCTGTACACCAAGACAAAAGAAGACGAGGGCCAACAGAAGCATCAAGAGGTTAGATGGTAAGTATCGCCATGACGCCAAATATATACAGAAGAAGTGGCAATGGATCACCAATATTTAAAATATCTAAACTCGATTCATCCGGCTATTCAGCTTAGCCTCATGCTAGGTTTACTGGGCATTGAGGATCCGGCTATGGTGCCTCCAACTTGACTGCGGAGAAGTGGACCTCTCTCTGCAAAGCGGCAGTAAAGACTGGCTTTGAGTGGAGCGGATATCGGATTGGTGTGGCATCTATGCGAAGTCATTCATCGCGTATATTATTGGGAGTATTGTTGTCATTGCTGTTGGCTGAATTTCTTTTGTAGCAATAGCGGAGAGAGTAGCGGTCATAGAAGTTACCGAAGCTGTTGGAAAACAGATAATTGCATTCGTACAAAATAGAGATAGCGCCGGAACTGATAGCTTACAGGATCTTTCTCTGCGGATAAATGATAGAACAAGAGCACTGGTGGAAAAAATTAAGAGTGTAGCAGTTTGCTCAATGAGGTCGGTAAATGCTGCCCCGAATATTCGGAATGCCTATCCCGAGAAGTCTCGGCGCCTCGTTTAACCAGCTCAGATAGCTATGAGACATCTTTTCCTTCTTTAATCTGATGTACCACCGTCTTAATATCGGCGCGCTGTCGTACCAAGCGATAGACTGCCTGGGATTCCTCCTGTGGCATAGTCTTCACAGCGTCGAAGAAATATTGATACTCGCTGCTCTTTTTCTGTTCTTCTAGAAGTTTTCGCATCCACACTTCTGCTTCCGTCTCAGCAGATGCATATTGACAATTAGTATCTTGCTGAGCGCATGAGCTGCATGTGGGCTGATCTCCACTACACTATATAGATCAATCAGCCTGACTGCAACTTTAAGAGATAGGCATGTACTGGAAGAAATACTTCGGTATTGCTCTGCCGACATGCTTCACATGTAGCATTTACGCCATTGCGTCGGGACAACGTAAGATCCCGGCATACATTGTCGGTAGAAGTAGAGCTCAAGTCGGGCTTAAGCGCGGGCTGGCTCGGACCTGGGGCGCTTTCTTGGGAAGTGTCGCGCTGCATTGTACTGTAGTGAAGCTATTCGTGTTTTATGAGGAGCAAGTTGTGCCATATATCGACCGAAGGGGTATCGATGTCTAGGGCCAAAGTAAATAAACTCGGACCCCATGAGCTTTTAAATCGAAGCCACACGTGCAACGGACCGATCAAAGAATTGGAGACGACTCTGGAATACCACCTCGGGGCATAGAACGGCTTGGTGCATGCTGTACAGAGTATAGCGTAGACGTATCTCTGCACATGGCCATTTTCGGGAATTTGACTTGTTCATGCAACCATGCAGCCTTCAATTGGTGAATGATACTAGTAAGTATGCATGGAAGAAGAATTCCAATCATTTGGTCTATTCTACGATTGTCAGTGAATACACAGCTATAGTTATTTCTTATCATCGCAATTCTTCTGTTTCGACCTATCATTCACAGATCTAGTAAATAAGTGTCAGGAATGAGAACATGCACCATTTAAGTGCTAATAAATTAACAGAAATCAGCTATAGAGCTCAATATGGTAACTCAACCGTCCAACGGAGCTACTTTAATCTATATAAGCTAAATGTCCATATGCCATAACAGTTGAGACGACGATGCCATATCAAGATGGAGCACGCAAAGTATGTCCTTGTATTAATACAGTTGACCTCTACCAAGGCCCGCAACTCTTTGACAACTACTAGGCGCCGCCTTGTATCTAAAATAGCATTTTGCTATATCTGTTTCGAGAGAAGGTAACGTGTAAAACACTCCGTGTAAATATTGCATGGCTGGGAGTATAAGCGATATGAGGCGAGAACAAGACCTCAATGAGTTGGCCCATTGGCTTATGCTTGCTGGGCCGTCTCAAGAGGTCCCTTGAAATCCTTCTCCATCTCAATGAAACACATGTCTTCCGGCAGTGTCAGGCTGATGAATCGTTCGCGAGGAAATGGCGACGTCTCGCCCGTCTTCTGGTAGCCTTGGCGCATGTACCACTCAATAAGGGTCTTGCGAATCGAAAGTGCGTTGAGCGAGAATTTCTCAGCTCCCCAAACCCGTCGACAGTATGCTTCAGCGTAAGCAAGGACAAGGCGCCCCACGCCGCTGCGCTGATAACGGTCGTTGACTGCAATCATGGAGAGGCGGCCACAGTTGCCATCGCGTTTGGCGACTTCGATGGATGCAACAAGGTTCTTGTCGTCGTCTAGAGCCATCAGGATAGTGTTTTGCGGGTTGGCAATCTTGGAAGCCACTTCCCCGACATCAAGTCGAAAAGTAGATGCGAGCTCTGTATTGCCAGTCCAGCCGGATCTGCTGTCCTCGGTGCGAAAGGCAGTTTCGACCAGCTCCTGGATTTGGTCCGCATCTTCTGGAGTTGCTGTGCGGAATTGAAGGTTGAGAGAAGCCATTTTGTACGAAAGACGTATCACAATTGAGCGTTTGTTGAGTTTTTGAGAACGTTGTGCTGAATTGAATTGTTGTTGTTTGATATATGGCTTCTTGAATCTACATTTGGCCAATTATTTATACTTTTTTACTCTTTTCCTTCTCATGGCATACGAGGCATATCGTGCTACGAGTTGTGAGCCTTTCAGCGTTTGCTTTCCGAGATTGTTCAAGTAAAGGCGCTAATGACTCCGCAGGGCTTAACCGCGAGCATTCCTGGCTATCAGTTGACCTGCTAGGCTTCCATTTTTGCGGCACCTCCCCTTAAAACAAGGTCTGTCCAATTTCTAACGAGTCCTGCTGTGCGTAAAAGGCGCGTTAAAGGCGCGCAACAGGCGCAAAATAACGCTGAGCATATGCGTTAACAGTCAACATGCGCGCGCCTTTTCTAGGCACCAAGACAAATTCTTGGCGAGAACAGGTTTCTCTTATTATGCGCGAAATTGCCTCATGTCAACGATTGCTAGAGGACATTTTTCAATGTCCTCTAATATTGAGTTGCTAGAAATGGCCGCTGAGTGTTAAGTGCAGCTGAATCATCCAAGGTGTCCACCTCAACTCGACCGCCGCAATCCCCGCAAGAAGCGCAGTCCAAGGCTGCTACCACAATGAGATCCATCCATCTGATACTAGAATACCGATGCCCGCGCCAAAGACGGATTTAGCCAAAATATTCCGGCTGGCGCACACACTGCGGCGCGACGAAGCCGGCTTGGCCACGAAGATTCCGAGCTGCGACGCGGATCTAATCGCATGTCGGGAGGGGCTCTAACTCCCCGCATCGAAGAATGAAGCCGGTGAGATGGCTCATGGAACAGAAGCTCTATATAGCGCTGGACTGCATGAATCGCACTGTTTTCTTGTGCGTGTAAGTGTTTATATGATAAGAAATCTTCAATTGTTTGCTTTCACCCTAATAAAGAGGGAAACAAAGACGAGAAGATAAATTTAATTCGTGCTAAACGATAATACACCTTGCTTGTGTCATTCACCCATCATGTTTGGCAAGATCGCTCTCGAAGAATGCTGGACGATTCAAGAAGAGTTGGCAAACAATGACCCAGGCAAATTCGTCGCCGCTGGAACTGGCTCTCGTTTGACAAACGAGCTGCTCGACATTCACGATATGCGTTTGAAGCAGATGGATGAGAATAACGTCGATTTTATGGTTCTCTCATTCAACTCTCCCGGCGTCCAGGGCATCGCCGACAAGGCCAAAGCCGAGGCTCAGGCGACGCTGGCGAATGACCGCATGGAGGCTGAGGTGATGCAAGCGCCTCATCGCTTTGCAGCATTTGCCGCGCTGAGCATGCATGACCCTGCGCAGGCGGCGGCAGAGTTTCGTCGCTGCATGACGGAGAAGAAGGGCTTTGTTGGTGTGCTTCTCAACGACTACCAGAGCTGTGGTGAGGATGGGAATGGCATGCTGTATTACGACCAGCCGGAATACGATGTCTTCTGGAAGGCAGCAAATGACCTTGAAGCACCAGTTTACATGCACCCGCGACCCTCTAATAAGCTAATTCATAAGCTTATGTGGGATGGGCGCCCGTGGCTCGATTTCTCTGCTTTAGGGTATGCGGACCGGCTTAACATGCATATCTTGGGAATCGTTACCAATGGCATCTTGGATCGATTTCCCAAGGTGAAACTGATTTTTGGGCATATGGGCGAGCACATGTAGGTTCAATGGCTTCTTTTTTCATCTTACACGTAGTCCAAAGCTAACATAGCAACAGCCCGTATGATATCTATCGTATTGATCATAAGCTTGACCGCAGCCGGTTTCCTAACATGCCGATGCGCAAGGACAAGCTTGTTCGTGATTATTTTGGCGAGCAGCTCTTCATCACGACTTCTGGGCATTTCTCGACGCCCGCCTTGATGTGTGCCATGGGAGAAGTTGGGGTGCAGTCCATCATGTTTTCCATCGACTATCCTTTTGAGAGCATTCCCAACGCTTGTGGTATGTTTTCTCCCTCGTACACACTCAACGTCAGTTTCTAACTTCAGTCTGTTTTATAGCGTGGTGGGATGAGCATGTAGCTGCCAGTGTCAATCAGCATGACTACACCAACATGGGCCGCAATAATGTTCTTAAAATTATTCCTAGGCTGACTCAAGCGCCGCACAATCTAAAGGCTATGACTCCACAAGAGTGCAGAGTGGGAAGGTTGGCGGCGGATGAAGGTGAGGTTTGTTATGGTTTATACAATAAGTCGTGGAATAAGCGGGAGATTAAAGTAGTGCCGTATAATTAGAGATAAATGCGAGAGAGCCAAATTACAGTCAATTGATGAAGATGTGATTTTTTACTCGATTTATGTGAGATGAAAAGTGATTTATTAATTAAAAAGATATGTTCAATATTATTGATGCAGATATTATCACGTAACATCATTACGCATATAGTTCCCACACATTGCGATGAAAATGACTTTCAAGCATTAACAGCATGCCACCCAGTAAACATAAGGGTATACAAACGACCGCGCGCATTTACAAATCCTTATGAAAGTTAGGACTACCAAGGCGTTTCCGCCATTCCGCACCCTTGAAATAGAGCGGAACGAGAGGCAAGTAAAAGGCAAAAGCGACAAACGCCAAGGTGATCCAGGCATCCTCAATGCCTACTCTCTCTGAGAAAGGGATCGCGTAAAATCCAATGGTGAAACTGTACACTTGTCTTCCAAAGTTGATTAACGAACCAAGCTCAGGAGATTGAGGCTTATAGCACTAGCACACAAGAAATGTTAGCATATAAATGACATTAGAAAGCGATTTGCAATTTGACTCACCTCTGCCGTATACGTATAAACGCCCGTGGTGACAACCTGCAATCCGAAACTGGCAATGGCGATTCCAAACGCCACTCCAATCCAATGAGTCTTGTTTTGAAGGCAGACTCCTTCGATGATGATGCCGAGTGGCGTTAACACCGCGGCTGGAATGATGCCCAGAAGACGATCTTCGGGACTGCGCTCGCCTCCACGACGTATGGCTCGCTTCTCACTGATCCAGTCGGATATGCCTCCGGCAAACAGCTCGCCGATAAGACTGCCAACTGTGATGGGAATACCCAGCAGAAGACCTGTTTGCTGGGGCTGGAAGTGGTAGATTCTGCCAAAGAGGTTCGCGCTAGTTATGATGAAGAGGATGCTTCCATAGGCGAAAGAAATCGAGTAGCACCACGTTGGCAGCAACACACTTGGGTACATGATCATTTGAAATGGCCGGAAGAAATCCACGAGCTTGACTTGTCGTGTCGGGTGTGCCCTTCGCTTCATAAGCATATTCGACTTCCAAGACTGTGAGGGGCGTGCTACAGCCTCTGGCGTGCGAGAGTAGAGCGTCTCAGGGACAGTCAAGATGAAGATGACGAGGATTCCTCCTGTCAGTATGGCTGGAACATAGAAGCACCAGTGCCAGCTCAAGTTCTTTTCGATGTAGCCACCGATGAGAGGCGCGATGTGGCCGCCAGTCAAGAAGCTGATGGTATAGACGCCCATGTACAGCCCTCGTTCGTGGGCAAAGTACATGTCACAGACGGTAGCACTGCCCAAGCCCAGGGGCACGCCGCTAAAGAAGCCATTGAGACAGCGCAAGGCGATGAGGGTGCCATAATTCTTAGCCGCGCCGGAAGCACCGCAAAAGGCCACCGATGCGGCTACGGTGCCGATGTATACTGGCCGGCGGCCATAGACGTTTGCGATTGGGTTCCATACAATGGTTGAGATACCGGCCAGGAGAATGAAAGTGCTGGTCACGTAGGCTGTTGTAACGAGATCCTTGTGGAGGAACAATGACAGAGGAACAAAAGCTGGCGTCTAGCCACGAGTCAAGGCGCAATTAGTACGACGAGATCGTGTTTAAGAACGCGCGATCGGTGGGGCTTCGGGATACACGTACGATCAAGGAGGCACTAAACAAGGCCAGAAAGGAGAAGAGAGAGACCTCGACCAGAACCATTAGCTTCAACCAGCGATTCCAGTTGAGCGGGTCTTTGGGGTCATCGGTGGGCTGAGGCGACAATGGAAGGCCGCGAGGGTCTAGCTTCAGCGGAGGAGCATCTTCCTCGTGCTCCCTCTCATGTTTGGCGCTGCCGCTGTTCTGCGAATGATCTTCACTGGCGGATACATCCGCCTTATCCATTGGCGCAGCCATTGAACAATTGGGGGTGGAACAGCAGAGAGTAAAAGGCGGGCAGGAGTAATAACGTTAAAACGGATGGCGGAGTTGGCAGTGGCGTGAGATTTGGTTATTCATCATTTAGACGCAGCTTAGCCATTGTCCTTTGTGCGGGAAGAGTTTTTCCATGCGCGGTTATTACGCGTGGTATTTATCGTATGTCGCCTGATTGCAGAGACCCCAGACAGATGCTGGGATCACGATAAGCGACGAACCACGCGCCTTCGGGGGGAGTTTAGGGTTCTCCCCCACAACTGCCAGACGCCACAAACGCCATTGGGAGGACGTTTGCGTGCAATGTTGTGCAGGAATGGGGATGGAAGGTGAGAACCGCGGGGTACAAGGGCAACTTGACAGCTGTGCCGAGAGCTTTAGCTGTATTCCAATTTGTGATCATGGCTATGAACCGTGTTTTGTGTTCCAGGCCTAGGAGGACTTCATCTGAAGAAGCCATAGCTGCCACGAAGCTCCAGAGCTGGTTCATTTCATTGTATCTAGACATTTGTCAGCACATAAATCTCGCTGAATCATCATCTTTCATATTGCCAGACCCGTACGTTGACTGCAAAATACCATAGAAGACTGTCACCTCATATGTTACATCAGAAATTACATCAAAAAGTTGAACCAGAATTCATCAGATATTAATTATTCTATTCTCATGTCGTTATCCAGGCACTACGCCGTTGAGCACTTGTGGAGATCGCATCAACGACTCAGCAGCTCCGGGGTTCTCCACACCCCACGACCAAGTGGCCGAGCCTAGATTCGAATGGAGCTCTAACTGAGAGCCTAGATCCATGGTTAGATCCTGAGTAGTGTCCCACAGTGACCACAAATCGACGCCTCCGTCTTCCGTGGCCCCGTCCTCTGGTAGTGTCGTGCTGTTGCTATATGCCGTAGCCTCTCCGGCCCATCTATCACTCCCCGGCATGACAGTCGGAGGCGTGTTGTACCGCTCGACTGTCCTCCTTCGTTCATCGGGTATCGTCCTATCCAGGAAACCAAGCAGCTGCTGTAAAAATGCATATGCCCGTTGTGCACAGAGGTGGTTGCCAGACATTTGGCGAATCATAGTCACCGCCTGGTCTAGGTGCATTAGTGCACTTCGGTCATCTCGAAACTCTGGATCAACAACATGGGAGACGATGATGAGGATCGAAGTAAACACTTGGCAGATTTGTTAGTGGAAACTTGGGAAACGAATGAGGATCAGTGCCCTCGACTTACAATAGTAGAGATTGAACCAGCTGGGCCCCATTGCTTTTTTAGTCCGGTCATGGCGTTCAGCTACCAGTCGAATCGTTTCCTCTGCTGTGCTTACACAAACTTGCCGGCTACGCTGCAGTATGCTTGCCCGTAGTCGACCTCCCTCCCGTTCAGTGGTAGCTGGAGCCGAAGCAGAAGATACTGATGAAAGCGCACTGAGGCCCGATACCAGCGACTGTCTGTGGATCAAGATACAGACCATGTTGGCTCGAAGCGCCAGGATAAGTGTTGATTCTTTTTCTGGTGGTACGCCTTCGCGGATGCGAAGATTGGCAGGCATTTCGGCCTGCCACGCTTCAAACTCCTCGTCAAGTCGAACCAAATCTGATAACGCTGGTTGGCCACCCATCATCATTGTGGTCTCTAATAGACGGTATAGTTTTGACACCTGTAGAAAAAATGACATGCTTGTTGTGGTTTGTACTGAGGGGAACAATAATCGATTTGGCCGAATGCAGTCATCATCTAGATCTTCTGGTAGAGGGGTGGAGAACGTAGCCGTTGAGGTAGCGGCAGGGCGGCCATAAATCATGCTGAGAAGCTGATCCAACCCAAAGCACGCATACCACACCCGCTTACGGACTTCCTGCCCTATACAGTCGAATTTCTCAGGATCAGGCGGCCGGTGTAACTCTAGATCGTAGGCTATACGGATGGCAAGCCCTAGAACCGTCCAGCACTCGTCGCTATAGCTGGAGCTTTGCAGAAAGCGAGCGCCGAGAAGCAAAGCCTGAACTTTTTCGATCCTCCATTCTGACATGAGGCTCGGCTGCATAAGCTGCATGGCAGTGTCGTAGTACTTTCGAGATATAACGTCTGAGCCCTCTTGGTTCCGTCGACTGTGCGCCGCAGTCAGTGCGCATATCATGTTGAGGATGGCCAGTGTGTAGATATGATCATTCGTTCGAGCCCCATGACGATTGTTGAGCACTTGGTCAAACTGAGCCATGATGGTAGGAACATGGAATATTGGAGTGAGTTCATGGTGGAAGTCGAAATAGGTCTTGAGCAACTCCTGGGCGTTGGGAGGCAGTGAGAATAGATCCGACGGGCTCCTCGACTCGACCGAGTAGTCTCTAGGGGAGGTAAAGGACCGAGCATCCAGCTTGGCAGACGGGTGATTCATGGCGTTGAGGATCAGCCGCGTAAAAGACTCTCCAGCTTTGCCGCTGAGGAATATGTCGGGGGTTGTTGGGAGAACATGGTGATGTTGTTGCTGGGGATAGTTGCGGCCTGCGGGCCAAGCCATTGACTGGTTGGGATGCTGCATTGGCGGTAACCTCGTGGCCTCGTACTGGATAATCGACGGAACAGGAGAGTTGTGCTGGACTACGGGCAGAGCATGTGACGGCTGCGGTCGCTGCTGGGTCTTATCGCGATGGGTGTCCTCGAAGTTGCGTACACGGCGTTCCAAAGATCGGATATATCTAGATGACAATTAGTGTTCCGGCCTCACAAGCAATGCAAGGAGTCAGTACGCCTGCGCCGACTTAGTCATGCCGCGAAGCATCTCGTCCGACGCCTGTGCCGGCACAATATGGTCGCATTTCGTCTTGCGCTGGCGACAGCTGCGGCAGGCCACCGTCGCCCGCCGCCGCTTTCTGGGGCCATCTTTGCGCTCAGGGCCATCGCCGACCTGTGCAGTCGATGGCATAGGGGACGTGCTGGCCATCTCGCAGCGGATGATGGCTGATAATGGCTCAAGAGAGGGAAGGGTTTCTGTGGATTCCCGCAGCGTAGTGCGTGATCCGTCGTGGAAGTCGGGGCTCGGGATAGTGACGCCGTCGCCAGACTGTGCGCTAAA